CAAGGTAAATCATGTTGCCCCCGCCCCAACAGCGGTAGTTATAGATGGGGTGGGGCCGCCGGTGGAGGTCCGGCTAAAACAGGTTCTAGGCAGAGTTTATTTATTTTGTTTTTAGTACTTTTTAGTATTTACTTGTCTTTTTTGTCACTCTTTTTACAAGGGAGGGGCTCCACCTCATAGAGAAGAGATGGAGGTCAGTCTCCTCTGAATCTGCAGTGCTTTACATGTTATGATTTCATTTATTAAAAAAAAAAAAAAAAAACGTAGTCGGGCATGCCACCAAAAACGCAATCGAGAGCATCGCCAAAATAAAACAGAAAAAATGCCCATGAAAGCCACTGAAAAAGCACCCAAACAGAGGCCGCCACGCCCACAGGCAAGAGAAAAGAGCACATCCCAAGGACGGAAACAATGGTCGGGCTGTTGAAGCCTGCAGACAAGCCAAATGAACACCCCCCAAAAAACAGACTGGCGCCGTAGGCAAACCAGAAGAGCACATCCAACAGTGGCCGCCCCACAACATCTTCCAGTCAGCAATTCAGTGAGATTTTTGTCGTTATTAGCCCACCAAGTAACTGGGTGTTGGGGGGAGCATCATCGAAGACTCATCATACGCTCATAATAAGTTACTGGTGTTGTATGCAGGCTAACAATCTGAGGTGTTTTACCTGAGTTGTTGCCTATTAATGGCCTTCTGCACACTATAGCATTCGCATCAGCACCAGTAGGCATGTGTGTTCTTTTTGACCTGACATGCAGAGCGCAGTGGGTGCGATGCTCTCCTTGTTGAACCACCAGTAATCGGCCCATACATCGGCCGCCGTGAACGCCCCGCAACTTCCGGAGGCTCGGGGTACCGGCCCTCAAAGGCTGGCGCCGCCAGCCAAAACAAGTGTTTTTTGTTGTGCTGGTGGGTCGGCGCGAAACAGCACGCAGCCCCCCGTTTTCAGGCTCGGAATCGATAGCTGGGCCAAGTACTGGTGGTTCAACGATCTGATTTTGTTTTGCATGTAAAAGTCATTGCCTCCTTGATAATGTCCTTGCAATTTTGCAAATTATAATCCATGCGGGCGGTTAACGACCGCGAGGGAACTTTTAACGAAATGGTTATGATTTTTGTCGTCGTGCATTTTATATCTCCTTGATACGCACGTGCGGAAAGCAGTTCGAACTTTTGCAAGTTTACGCAAGCCAGCTTCCCGCTTCTGCACGCGCGCCAACTTCTCTTCTTGCTTGCTGTTTTCATCCATGTGTATCTCTTCGTCTTCCTCCTTCCCTCCCGGCGAAGGATGTTCGACGCAAGCGGACTTGGTCGGAGCAAATTGTAAGAGCGGAATTGGTCGGAGCAACCATCCTGCCTTTATCATTTTTCTAACACTGTCACTCTTTCTCTCTCCATTCCCTTGCTTTCCTGGCTAACGCCCCGCCACCACCTCCGATAAATTCGCCTAGTCCTCACTTTGATCTTTGCTGCGATGTTGTGCGGACTATGCTGGAAGGTTGTGGCGCCGGAAAGGCTCGGCGTGCCCATAAACCAGCGGAGTGATAGCATGGGGTAAGTCGAGCGGTACTATTGGTAGGTTGTAGTCGGAGAGATTGAGCAGTGGTGGAGATGAGGGTAAGGTCACGTGCAGGGCCTTGTGCCTAGGCTGGAGCATGCCTCGAGGTAGGATACGGTGGGCCGTGCGTACGTGGCGTCGACATTTATGTTGTTTAAAGTTGCGAGTGACTTTACTTTTTCTCCATCACTGCTTATCCAAGTGCGCATGCATGCTGAAGATCCCAGTTGTGTACCAAGTCGTGTCGCATGAGCTGTGTGACCGTTTCACCGTCAGTAACTCAGCCGAAGTCCATGGATGTTAATCATGTTATGGATGTTAAATATAATCTCATCCCAAGCCGGGTAATGACCCCGGTATCTCAAATGACCTCAAACGACCTCAAATGTTCTCAATGATCTGTATAATTCGGTATGGGACGCTGGGCCCGGTTCCCAGCACGTGCTGCTCCCCACGAATAGACTGGAGCACTTGTTCAAATTATATATATACGATATATATATATATATATATATATATATATATATATATATATATATATATATCGTCACAAACAGAACTGCCCGGTAAACCCTAGGCAGAGAGAGAGAGAAGAGGACAACAAACGAGGGGCTGTGACAAACTGTTTCGTCGGATATTCACCGACTCATCAGGAGGCTGAANGGGCTGTGACAAACTGTTTCGTCGGATATATATATATATATATATATATATATATATATATATATATATATATATATATATATATATATATATATATATAATGCATGGTTGCAATTTCCTGTCGTTACACTCTTCCGCTTGCATGTGTTGAAGACGGAGAGAAAACCCTGGTTATACAGTCTGTTGTGTTCATGTATGGATGAAGGGACGATATCTGCCTTCGTGTAGCTATGATCGTTAGTTTGCATTTGGGTCAAGTGAACTGGGTTTTGATTTGGAGTTGTAGGAAGTCGAAATTTGCTTGTCTCAGCATCAACGCCGACATCTGCCCGTGTCCGAACCTATCATCGATTCACCGTAGCAGTCTCCATGAGTTACCCGTAGCAGATGAAGACAAGAGTCTACTGCGACACGGATGTTCCGAGTGCTAACTGACCGGGTTCACTTTTATAATTTGTGCAAAACTCGTCCCTTTGGAGGAGAAGGGTTCGTTTTGGTGGACTGTTTTGATTCTCCCCAACTAATCCTCCCTTACACTGACCTTACTATGCATCCTGGGTCGGCTGCCCACGCCACGTCGAACCCCAAGTTTAACTGTTCATGGTGTAAGATTGAGAACTTGTGATCGTGGCAACGCTTAAAAAAAAAGGGGGTACCAAAGGGCATTGAGGTTCCCGGAACACACCCTGTTACATGCACAGATATGTGATGTTTGTAATAACTGAGGAACTGCAATGTGACGAAAAGGACTGAAATGGACAATGCGGTGAGAGTAGAATCTCGACAGACAATGTGCATTCTCATACATACAAAAGTGCTGAATGGCGCAGGGAAGACTTAGATACAAAGACTGACCTGACAAGGACTGACCTTACACACGTAGTAGCAAGTAGCGAAACAGACTGCTAGAATGTTGATAACTAGTCCAACCGATGGTTGAACTCAGACCAAACATGCATCGTACCCCTCACCAGGTGTGAAGGAGCCTGGTGCTGCACACAGGAAGAAAGCGTCAGGTCCAGACATGCATAGACGAAGAGGTAAGGATCAGACGAAAGGAGGGAGGAAGATGGGAGTGTCGTTAACACCAAGTCTTTGTTACCGATCCCAAATAACCCCTCGTTGCCATGTCTGAATCCCAAAAAGTCGAGTCTTGGATCCGATATCACCAAACTCGGTATCTCTTCTCTCGCAGTCTGCAAATGCAGTGAAGTCAAGGGTTGAGAGGGAGAGAAGGAGATGGTGGATTGAGAAGAAGAGGAAGAAGAACTCTCTCTCTCTCACTGTTACAAACCAGATACTAACCTTTGATGTGGCGCTGTGCTGCAGGTACCTTGAAGACGAAGCTGGAGCAACGGCGCTGCAGGTAGGTACCCGTGGCCTCCCCCCGAGCTCTCTCTCTCTCTCTGCCACTATCCTAGCTATGACGCCCAGCGCCGAAGGCTACTAGCTAACGCTACCACTACTATAACGCAGCGCTCCCTCCAGAGGGCTGCTCCCGAATCCTGAAGACTACAACTGCCGACTGCCYCCCTCCTGTAGGGCRGGCYAGTCCTTTATAGTGCTGGCCCGTGCAGGAGGCTGGTCGTGCCAATGCCCTATGCGCACGAGGCCGCTCTTGCCAATGCCTCCCTGGCCTAGACCCTGCGGAAGCTTCCAGGCAAGAGCCTGGAAGTTTCCCTGTAGGGAAACAGGCTGGGGCCTGTAGGCCCTGTCAGAAGGAAGCTTCCAGGCAAGAGCCTGGAAGTTTCCCTGTAGGGAAACAGGCTGGGGCCTCTAGGCCCTGTCAGAAGGAAGCTTCCAGGTAAGAGCCTGGAAGTTTCCCTATAGGGAAATAGGCTGGGGCCTGTAGGCCCTGTCAGAAGGAAGCTTCCAGGCAAGAGCCTGGAAGTTTCCCTGTAGGGAAACAGGCTGGAGCCTGTAGGTCCTTTCTCGGGCTGTCAGGCTGAACCGTCGGCGGGGCCTGTAAGCCTTGGATATCAGGCTTAAAGCCCGAAATTCTGGTTTTTTGGCCTGAACGACGTCGGACCTGCAAAATTTGCCCGTGTGTGCATGTGCAGCATGTAACACCCCCCCCTCCTTATGAAGTCAAGCCGGGGCGAGGGCGAAGCCGTCGATCTGAAGGTGGAACCTGGACGCGGGCGCGGCGGGGAGCCGAGGAAACCGGCTTGCCTTGCATCTTGCGCTCATAGCGTGCGAGAACGTCTGGAGCTGTCGCTTGAAGTTCCGCACGGGTTAACCAACTGTCAGCTCGGTGGGTGCAGTATGCAAAATGCACCAAATACTCAGTTGGCTTGTTGCCAAAGCGTCGCTGGGAGATGATGTCGCCGACCTCCGGAAAACCATCCATGGAAGGAGGGTCCTGTGTACGTCTCCCGGGAAAATCGTCATGCTCCGCAGGCGTGTAGAGAGCCAATTTGGAGCAATGAAGGACTGGGTAGACGGGCAAGTGGCTAGGCACCTGAATCATGAAGGAAGGTCCTTCGGGTGCGTCCCCAGCGGGCTCTATGATCGGCCAAGGTCCCATCCATTTCGGAAGGAGCTTGCGAGAGATGTCTTATTCAAGGCTGAATTCCGTGGCGGAAACCCAGACGAGGTCCCCGGCGCGGAATGGACAAGGGAGACGCTGGCGATTGGCCTGCTGGCTCATGCGCTGCTGTGTCTTAGCCATCTGGTCGCGTGCCTTGACAAGAAGCTCTTGCATCCGACGCAAGAAAAGAAGATGGTCGTCGCTCTCGGTCGTGCGTGGAGTGATAGTGTCCAACGATGACGTGACCAGCGAGCCGTGCTTGAACTCGAAGGGCGATATCCCAATAGCCGGGTGGATGGAAGAGTTGTAGGCCAACTCGACATCCGGCAGTCGCTTAACCCAGTCTTTCTGGTCGGGGCTGAGGGTGGCGAGCTGAACTGGGCTTGAGAGATAAGCCCCATCGTTTGATGAGTGCCAACCAAAAATCGGACATGAACCGAGTGTCGCGGTCACAGACGATCTCCTTAGGGTAACCCTTGGTGCGAATCCAACCGGCGTACAGAACCTCGGCCAACTCCAGTGCCTTGGCATGATAGCTACAAGGCAAAAACATGGCGAACTTGGTGAGTCGGTCGACCACCGTGAGAATCCCATCCACTCCGGTCTTGTGCTTGGGGAACGGGCCGGTAATGTCCATGGCAATCGCTTCCCTTCGCCTCAACGGGACCGGCAATGGTCGTAGCTCGCCGTACGGACGATGGTTGCGGGATTTGCAGCGTCGGCAAACCTCGCAAGACTCGCAATAGTGCGTGACGTCGCTGAGAAGGCCAGGCCACCAAAATCGCTGGCGAAGTCGGCCAATCGTGCGATTGACCCCGAAGTGTCCAGTGGCGGGAGCATCGTGGAACTCGCCAAGAAGTTGTGTACGCAAGTGAGGATCACTTGGTACGCAAAGAAGGTCCTTCCCCCGCGTGTGGACAAGCAAGTATCCCTCCTGGATCCGGTAGTGAGAAGGAGACGGATTAGGCGAGGAACAATTCGCGTACTTGTCGCGAAACTCGGGGTCGGCTTGGTAGCCGCGGATGAAGCTGTTCCGCAGGTCGTCGTCAATCTCGAAAGTTGAGTAGAC